ATGCCCCCCACTGGGGATCCAGCCTGCAACCTGGACATATGCCCTTGACCGGAATCGAACCCGGGACCCTTCAGTCCGCAGGCCGATGCTCTATCCACTGAACCAAACCAGCTCGGGCTGCTCACCACTTTATTTATTTTTATTGTATTTATTTTTAAAATATTTTTATTTCTTTCAGAGAGGAAGGGAGAGTGAGAGAGAGATAGAAACAACAATGATGAGAGAGAATCATTGATTGGCTGCCTCCACTGGGGATGGAGCCCGCAACCAAGGCATGTACTCTTGACCAGAATTGAACCCAAGATCCCTCAGACCGCAGGCCGATGCTCTATCCAGTGAGTCAAACCAGCTAAAGCTGCTCACCACTTTAAATAATGAATCTTACAGGTTGGTATAATAGCTTGATTTTAGAAGTATATCTTCAAAAAACATTTAATAATAAATGTGCCCAATATAATTAATGTTTCCAGTAATTAAAATGTGTTTGTTCTACAGAACCAAACAGAAAATTACAAGAAAACATTAAAAAAAATTTTTTTCAGGCTAAAGAAATCATCTAATCCATTTTAAAGAAATTTAATGTGTTCTCTTTTTGTGAAGATTTTAAAAAATTATATAAGGAAACTAGCACAGAGCCAGGTGTGTAGCTACACAACACATTAGATCAGCGGTTCTCAACCTGTGGGTCGCAACCCTGTTGGGGGTCGAACGACCCTTTCACAGGGGTCGCCTAAGACCATCGGAAAATACATATATAATTACATATTGTTTTTGTGTTAATCACTCTGCTTTCATTATGTTCAATTTGTAACAATGAAATTGGGGGTCACCACAACATGAGGAACTGTATTAAAGGGTCGCGACATTAGGAAGGTTGAGAACCACTGCATTAGATCCCTCTGTTTTCTCTGGCTACTCAAAATTTTAAAGCAAGGAATGTGGGGGTGTTAATTAAATCTTTTGGTTTAAGGAACAAAATTTATTTTGCCAATAAGTTTTCATAAAATCCACATGCTTATTAAAATTCCTTCTATCCATCCCCAACCAAGGGTAATGTCCCATATAGCTGCCCCAGACTGACAATAAAAGGATTTATACCTAAAACATAAAAACATATCAGAGCTTTCAAAGGTTAAAAATACACAAATCTTCACCACCCAGCTTCCTCGCCTATACAGGGAACAATCAAGTTGTGAGAGCATTAATTATGAATGGACACATCAAACTTCGCAGGTGATAGACAGGAATCATAAATGCTTGTTCCACGTGATATCTTCTATTAACGTTTAATTCGTTTAGCAAACCATTCATCACTTTTATCTGCTGCCATTGCCTATAGAAACAGAATTAGAATATATTTTCTAAGTCCATAAAACAAAACATATAGTTCACTTTGTACCTCATTGCATTGTCCATAATCAAGAAATTAACAATTGAAAAGTGTTATGTTTAATTTGACAGAGGATGCTGATGAATACCGAGCAATTGCTTGTGGATTTTCACTTTGTAAAGGTCCTGCAGCCAGGAAGTATGGCTCATTGACTAGACAGCAAGGGTCCAGCACACCAGGCCGTACCAAAGGGTCATGTACCAATATTACACTCTTTGTGACTTATTAGCTAATTAGAGGCCCAGTGCACAAATACGTGCATGGATGGCGTCCCTTGGCCTGGTTGGCGATTAAGGCCTATGGAAGGGAGGGCGGGGGAAGAGGAGCCAGCCAGCAGGGGTAGGGGCCCTGGGAGGTTGGCCATGGGAGCACACTGACCACCTGGGGGAAGCTCCTGCATTGAGCGTCTGCCCCCTGGTGGTCAGTGGGTGTCAAAGCGACTGGTCACTTAGGGAGCAGAGTAGAAATAGAGGAGGAAAAAGAACTGGTTGTAAAGCCTTAAAGATCTCTGTTCAAGCCCTTGCCCTGACACTGAATGTATAATATTGGGTGACAGTATTTTTGGACCTCAGTTTCTTCATCTGAAAGAGAACTATCAACCTTTCAGATTGTGGTAAGAATAGAGAGTATTTATAAAGCACTTAAGAATATGTCATGTGTCAAGAACATGTGAGATACTTAATAAATTGTAACTTTTATTTTTACATTATTAAAATAAGAATAGATTTGAAGTAAGATAAATTAAGTTATAGATATAAATATCCATGGTGAAGAGGTTTCGATGGCTATAAATTTAGTCTGGACAAAAAAAAGAACTAAAAATAAAAAAAAGGTTAACAAACTAGGCTTCCAACAAATCAACAAGAAAAAGATAAAACATTTCTTAAATGGATTTTATTGGGTCTTAAAAAATAAGCAAATAGCCCTGACCAAACGGCTCAGTGGATAGAGCGTTGGCCTGCAGACTGAAAGGTCCCAGGTTCGATTCCGGTCAAGGGCATGTACCTTGGTTGTGGGCACATCCCCAGTTGGGGGTGTGCAGGAGGCAGCTGATCAATGTTTCTCTCTCATCGATGTTTCTAGCTCTCTATCCCTCTCCCTTCCTCTCTGTAAAATAATCAATAAAATATATATATTTTTTAAAAAAAGCAAATATTCAAATAGAGAAGGGACATTCTAGGAAAATAAAATAGTGTGAACAAAAACATATTTAGAGATTAGAGAATAGACTAAAATGGCTAAAATGAAATGGATCAGAGGTGTGTCTTTCAAGTAGTTTGTCATGAAATTCAATGGATTATATTAATTGTTTTGTATTTATACAATCCGATTACACTAAAGCTAAATTTAAAAATTCATAGGACAAACCAACTGTATAAAACTATTTTTAGAGGATCAGGGAAATTTTAATAAGAACTGGGTTTTAGGTGGCATAAAGGATACATTGTTGATTTTTTAAATGTGATGATGTCAATATAGTATATAAGAAAATTCCTGAATGTTTACTTCTTTTATATTGTCTTAAAAATGTGTAAAATACTGTGCTTGCTTCAGCAGCATATGTACCAAAATTGGACCGATACAGAGAAGATTAGCATGGTCCCTGTGCAAGAATGCCATGCAAATTCGTGAAGGATTTCATTTTTTTTTAATGTGTAAAATACTTAAGTATTCAGGCATGAAATGTCATGGTGTTTGTTGTACTCTCGTGTATATTTGGAATTTTTAAAAAAAATATATTTTATTGATTTTTTACAGAGAGGAAGGGAGAGGGATAGAGAGTTAGAAACATCGATCAGCTGCCTCCTGCACATCTCCCACTGGGGATGTGCCCGCAACCAAGGTACATGCCCTTGACCGGAATTGAACCTGGGACCCTTCAGTCCGCAGGCCGACGCTCTATCCACTGAGCCAAACCGGTTAGGGCTATTTGGAATTTTTAATCATGAAGTATTAAAAATAAATCTACTATGGAGAGAAATGGACAAAAGAACATAAAACTCACAAAAGAATACAAGCAAATGGCCAATAAGCATATGACAAGCTGCTCAACATCATTAGTCATCAGGGGCATGTAAATTAAAATTACAATGATAAACCATTTTACATGTACTAGTATAGCTACCACAAAACACAAAAAAATACTAATGCTGGTGAGGATGTATAGCGGCTGGAACTCTGCGGTATATGACATGGTTAAAAGAGTATAAAGAGGTTCAATCACTCTGGATGACCGTTTGGCAGTTTCTTATAAAGTAAAAGCAATTCCATTCCTAGGTAATTATCCAAGGGAAATGAAGCATATGTCTACAAGAAGATTTACATGAGAATGTTCATAGCAGCCTTCCTCATAAAAGATGAAAATCTGAAACAGCTCAAATATTTGTCATTTGAAGAATGGATAAACAAATTGTTATATTCATAAAACTGAATACCACTCAGCAATTTAAAAAAAGAATTAAACTCCATGCAATTACATGGGAGGAATCTCAAAAATGTTGTGTGGAAAAAGCACAGAAGAATACTTTTACTGAATTACTCCATTTATATGAAGTCCAAGGACACACAAAACCTCTGGGAGGTGAGGGTGGGAACTAACTGGAACTGGGCATAAAAGAACTTCCTGCAGCGATGAACGTACTCTATACTTTAGTAGTGGTTGCAAGAGTATATATAACTGTCAAAACTCATTAAATTGAACAGTAAATTTCTGTACATTTAAATTCTATGTATATTTTACCTCAGTAACAACAACAAGAAATAGTTGTTTGGAGCTCAGAGGAGTAGGAACTAGAAATTAGGAAGTCAGAGAAATGATGATGGCAGAAGCTCAGAGCAGAAGTAGTAGTAGGTAGTGTCTACTCAGAGAAGAGAGAGAAAGTAGAATGAGAATAAAGATAGCAAAGTGGGATCATGGGTAAAATCATTTTAGGATGAGATAGAGAGAGAGGTGCCTGTGCCTGAGGAGAAGCTGTCAGAGAGATGCGAAGATGGCAGGATCTCTAACACCAAAGGAGAAGAGAGCTCAAAAGAGGAGGAAGCTGGCCAGTGATATGAAAGAGCAAGGAGAGAGTCTAAAATTTGCCAACAGACAGGTTGCCTGAGAATCCATTTTCCTTTACAGTAAAATTTATAAGTGGTACATTTTCTACTTTAATTAACATTAATTGAGTGTCTATTATTACGTCAGTAATTTAGCAGGCTCTATAAACCACAAAACAATTCTATGAGGTGGATAATCTTATTTTCTCAAATTTTTAGATAAGAAAACTTAAGTTTAGAGACTTTAAGTAAATTGCTTGAGGTCAGCCATCTTCATTTCTCTGACTTCCTAATTTCTAGTTGCTTGAGGTCAGCCATATTGTTATTAAGTGACAGAACCAGGAAAGATTGATTCATTCCTTTAATCATGAATAGGGTATTCACTGAGTGCATACTACATACCAAGGATGTTAGATGCTGGGGTACAACAATGAACAATTGCTTGGATGCTGCTAAAGAACTGTTTGAAGAGGATAGAAAAGGAGCTGAATTAGGCAGGATGGAAGTCACTGATGAGATCAAAATGCACATTTCACTGAGTGACAGGAGTCAGTGTAGTACAGACTGAAGTGTGAATGGGAGGTGAGAAGTAGAAGTAGCATATAGGCAGATTAAAAGAAAACCAGGAGAAGTTATATAGGGTGAATAAAATATTTTCCAGAGATGGAAGGTACTGGAGCTTGAGAACAATTCACTAAAAAGGAAGAGACTGAATCTATAGAAGGAGAAGAGATGACCAAAAGAGCTAAGAAGGTGAGAGGGGATGGTGACCAGGCATTTCCATTCACTGAGCAGGATAATCCTGAATACAGCAGAAGTGGTTCCCGAAGGCAGCCTGAGAAGGCACAAAAGCTGCACCCAGATAAGAGTCACATGGTGGCAATGAAGACAGTTCCTGGTTCAAAAGTCATCCCAAAGCAAAAGAATATGGTTCTGATAGTAAGAATGGTCCCTGTGGCTTTGGCCTTTCCCCACACACTTAATGCCACCTCCCTTGGGCTATTATCCTATAAATTAGAAATGACACTCACGTCTTCCAACAATTGGTTTCCTGTTGGATCCATCTTAGAAAGTTTTCGAAATGCTTCATCCCCCACAAAGCAAATTTCATGTCCATCCTATACCAAAAAAGAAAAAAGAATTCTGGCAAACAGACACCTCGGAAGAAAGCCTTGGTGCAGCCCGTCCCCTTCCTGAGTAATACTTACCGGGTCGGCCAGAATGACCACTTGCACTGTTGCTTTCCCGGGGGTATCCAGACTCACCAGGGGAGTCAGAATCTTCTGCTTCTCCCTTTTCATCAAGTCTTCTAAGTCAGGCAGCTTGAGGAAAACACAAAGAAAAAGTGAGCTAGGGATACCCCACCACTGTTAGGCCATGGTCCTTGTTGACCCTAGAGCAGTGGTTCTCAACCTTCCTAATGCCGCGACCCTTTAATATAGTTCCTCATGTTGTGGTGATCCCCAACCATAAAATTATTTTTGTTGCGACTTCATAACTAATTTTGCTACTGTTATGAATCGTAATGTAAATATCTGATATGCAGGATGTATTTTCATTGTTACAAATTGAACATAATTAAAGCATAGTGATTAATCACAAAAACAATAATTATATATGTGTTTTCCAATGGTCTTAGGCGACCCCTGTGAAAGGGTTGTTCGACCCCCAACGGGGTCGCGACCCACAGGTTGAGAACCACTACCCTAGAGGAATATCAAATCAACCAGAAAAAACCCAGGAGTCACTCGTCTGATTTTTGTTATCTCAGCTGCTTGAGGCAACTGTTGAAGCCACGATCAGAATGAACCTAAAGAATGGGAGGCCCAAGGTTCTCAGCAGTTGAACTAATTATCACAGAACTTAAATAAAAGATCTGGTACCAAACATTACCTCTTTTTGGGGACAAGAAAAGGCAATTCTTCCAAAAGCTGCTGCATGATCAACTGCACCCTTGATGCCCTGTAGCTCCAGCTTACACTGAAAAGAAGAAAGTAGGTTTGGTTTATTTTTCAGAACAGGTTGTGTGGCAAAAAAAAAAAAAAAAAATTCACAGTACTTAAGGAATAAAGTAAAAATGAAGTCTCCCTCCTACTCTCACTCCAGAGGCAACCAGTCAGCAGTTTCCTGTGTATATTTCTAGACGCACAGCATCTTTTCTTTTTACACAAATGGTAGCATAATTTACACATTAATTCTGTTCCTTGTTTTTCTCCCATTAATGTTAACATATCAGCACATAAGGAATCACTTCAGTCTTTTTCGATAGCTGCACAGTAATCCAGCCTATGAATGAACCATAAATTATTGAACTATTCTAATCCATAGGACAATTATATTATTTCTTATATTTTGCTATTATAAACAATGCTGCAACAGATAACCTTGTACACAGTTCTTTGTGAACATGTCTGATGAGTATGTAAAATAAATTCCCAGTAATATGAAAGAGCAAGGAGAAAATCTAGCAAATTTTCAACTGAGAGGTTGCCTGAGAGTCTATTTTCTTTTATTGTAAATAAAGGAATAGACCTACTGGGTCAAAGTGCAAGGACTAAATCATGCTCAAATGCTGGGTTATTTTTTAAAAGAAAAAGATAAAAATACCTATCATTACAGCATTAAATCTTGTCTATATCTCTTCTGATTCAGCAATTCCACTTCGAAAAAATATATCCCCAAATATCTAGGTGGTGATGTTATCAGCAATTTTTTTCTTTTCTTTTTCTGTTTCTATATAAATATTAAATCACTATGAAGAAATTAAGGGAATAACCTTCATGTTAACCTCATTTATAAGCCAAACTCAAAGTAACAGATTATTTCTCTCCAAGATCACTCACCTGGTTATCAGCATAGCCAAGCAAAGCCCTTTGCTTCTCTTCATTTTTTTCATAAATTTTCATTCCCAGTAGATTAGACCAGTAGTTCAAGGACTTCTGAAGATCAGACACTGCTAGAGTTACTTTTAATACAGGATCTGTACGGTAATAAAACAGCAGGAATGGATAGGTCAGTGTAATGGAGTAGAACAGAAAGACCAAAGAGGGCTCAAGTATATATAAGAATTTAGTTTATTATAAAAAAGGGATTTTAAGTCAGCATGAAAGGCACATTATTCAAAGACTGGCTTCTCATTTAGTGGGAAAAAGTTACACCTTTAAACTAAATGGCAGAATGCATTCCTTATGGGTTAAAGGATTAAGTTTAACGAATGAAACCATAAAAATACTATAATAAATAATATCAGGTGATTATTTATACAATTTTGGAAGAAAGACTTTTCTTTAAAACCTGACACAAGATACAAAAACCATGAAGGAAAAATTGCTAAGTTAATTACATGAAATAGAAAATTCCTAGACAACAAAAGCAAAAAAAAAAAAAAAAAAAAAAAAAATTATTATAATCAAAATGAAAGAGTAAACAAGTAGGAAACATTTTTTTTCTAAAATATAAGACAAAAAGTCCTTATTAGTTAAGTAATCTTTAAACATTAATAGGAAAAAGATGAATATCCTAGAAAAATAGGAATAAGGCACAGAACTAGCATGGTCAATGAACATATGAAAAAATATACAACCTCACAAATAATCAAAGAAATGAGAATCCAAATAAAACAGTTATCTAATTGGCAAGTATTTTTAAAAGTTCGCAGCACAGACTGTGATAGTGCAGGAGGGAAATCACAATCATATAATACTGGGAGAGTGTAAACTAGTTCATTTCTGGGGAACAATTTGACACAATATATCCAAAGCCTAAAAAATATACAGGGCTTTTAAAAGAACAACCCCATTTCAGCAATTAAAGAAGTAATTGTGGCCCAGCTAGTGTGGTTCAGACATTGAGTGTTGACCTATGACCCAGGTCATGGTTTGATTCCCGGTCAGGGCACATGCCTGGGTTTCGGGCTCGTTCCCCAGTGGGGGGGCATTCAGGAGGCAGCTGATCAATGATTCTCTTTCATAATTGAGGTTTCTGTCTCTCTCCCTGTCCCTTCTTCTCTGAAATCAATAAAAATTAAAAACATAAAGAACTGTGTATGTATGAAGGGCTTTCATCACAAAGGCATCCATCATAGTGTTCCTCATAACAAGGAAACACTAGGGAAAACATAAATATCCAACAATAGAGAACTGTTTATCTTCCTATGATGCAATACAATGGAATGTTTACAATGAAATATGAATAAAGATAGACATATTTAATTATATATTTTTTAACTTTTTGTTGTTGTTGACACTAGGACAGATGTCTCCATTCCCCACCTCCATGCAGCCCCCACACCCCTTTCCCTCTAGCCATCACCACACTGTTGTCCAGGTCTATGGGTTATGCATATATTTATTTATTTTTAGTTTTTTTTTAACATTTATTTATTTTTAAATAAAAGACTGGCAAGCTATACTCTAAAATGTTAAAATCTATTTTGTTTTGCAAAAAGAGCAAAAGTTATATTAAAACACCATATTGGAAACTTTTATATTATAAAGTGACTTTCTCCAGAGCTGTTCCAAGTCTACATCTGCCTATGATAAATTCAATACATTGTCCTTCCGTTTCACTGCCTTGCTCTGGTTTGCTAGAATTACAATGCCATGACCCAAGGCAAGGTGTTTCTCACAGGTCTCTCTGCCTGGCAGACTGTTTTAGTTTTCCCATTCATTGAGAAATCAACAGATTCCAGCTGACTCCGAAGGGAAGCAGGGGCAGGAATGGTAAATTAGTGGGTGAAACTACAGATAAGTAAGTGATTCAAAGGAAGGGTGGACACAGCTAGACTGATACATTTACTATTTTACCAATCAGAAATTAATGCCCTGAAGGCTCTATCATTCTCAAGGACAAACACATCTTAGGATTGTAGGCTTGCCATTATCTTATATATTGAAACATCAAGATTAGGAGGGAAATGTACAGAGAAATAAGTGACAGAAGTTGAGTTTTAAAGTTAGTATGTAAAGCAACAATCACCTATCAACAAAAATCATCATAGAAATCCCTTAAGTCACTAGTGAAGTACAGAAATACCATCTCAGTACGTCCCACCTCCCACAACGGAACACGTCACTTTCTTCTGCTGAGCTCCAGATGAAAAGCAAGTAGCATTCAACACAACAATCAGACTCAGTGTGAGGAGGTTCTGGGACTTGAGGGAGACCACTGGAGGAAAGAGAAATGTCCCCCATCTCAGGTCCACTTAGGGCATGTATTCACTGAGTGAAATGACAGGCAGAATTGCCCTTGCTACTCACCAGTATTTTTTTCTTTTGGCAGAGCAGGTGGCAGACTTTGTAGGAATGAAATACACACATGAGGATGATGTCTGGGTCATAAATGAATAAATGAAGCACTTCATGCAGTTTCTTTCCTGCTGCTCCCTGTGGCGGTCAGTGTGGGGGTGGCTCCTCACTTCCATTCCTCCCTCACTCACTGAGTACCTGCACTATAGTTAGCAAAACTGACCTTAGCTGGAGAATATGACTAACTGGTCTAAGGATAATCCTGTTTCTCCTACCAGTGATTGGTTCACAAGTGGGCATGTGAATAAAATCTGATAAGGAAGCCCAGCCAGAGTGGCTAAGTGGTTGGGTCGACCTATGAACCAGGAGATCATGGTTTGATTCCTGGTCATGCCCAGGTTTTGGGCTCAATCCCCGGTGTGGGGCGTGCAGGAGATAGCCGATCAATGATTCTCCCAGGTTTCGGGCTCAATCCCCGGTGTGGGGTATGCAGGAGATAGCCGATCAATGATTCTCTCTCATCACTGATGTTTCTATCTCTCTCCCTCTCTCCCTTCCTCTCTGAAATCAATAAAAATATTTTTTAAAAAATCTGACAAGGAAGTTTGCTGAAAGATTCTAGAAAAGTTTGGTCTGCTCTTAAAAGAGAGCAGCAGCGGTCTCTCCCTCTCCTACCAGGAGAGAACGTAGGAGCCTGTAGCTGTAACTGCTACTGGCAGCCACCCTACCACAAGGAGGGGAACTGGCTCTGGGGCCAAGAGAATGGAGAGAGAGAAAATTTGGGTTCTCATTGCCTTTTTTTTTTTTTATTGATTTATTTTTTACAGAGAGGAAGGGAGAGGGATAGAGAGTTAGAAACATCGATGAGAGAGAAACACCGATCAGCTGCCTCCTGCACAATCCTTACTGGGGATGTGCCCGCAACCAAGGTATATGCCCCTGACCAGAATCGAACCTGGGACCCTTCAGTCCGCAGGCTGACTCTCTACCCACTGAGCCAAACCGGTTAGGGCTCATTACCATTTCTGAGCGGCTGAATCAATGAATGCTGAAATCTTCCCTACCTATAGAATGCTGGCTTTGTGAGCTAAAATAAATTTCTTATTGTTAAAGCTAGTTTGAATTGGGTTTTGTTTTTTGCAGCTGAAAGTATCTTAAATAGCTACATTACCAGTAGAACCAGTCCCGATCCCCTATAAAGATCTCATGTAAGAATATAACTTTTCAGAGAACAAATAACAACACTGGCTTGAGAAAGACATGTCATGTTAATATAGAAAGACTTCACAGGAGAAAGAAATCCAGGTCCCTCCTCCTTCCATCAAAGATGCCTTTAGACAGAGGCCTTTATAAATTACCTGACTGAGGTGGACTTTGATTCTGCAGATAGAACTTATATCCTCCTGGGGCCTCAGTTTCAAAAACACCATCTGCAATTTCAGTGAGTGGCCACTTCAGCTTCCTGGCATTGCTCACAGCCTGGCTAGAAGCGACTGTGATACCCTAGGACAAACAACAATATCATACAAGTGTCGAATCACAAGAGACCTTTTATAATGAGACAAAACCCATCACCTTCTTATTGTGGATAAAAAAGAGGGTATGTACAAGTCCAGTGACTGAAAGTAACCTCACAGGGCGATCTGATCATAAATTTCTAACTGGGCAAGTCATGGTGGGTAGTCACACCCCAGGCCTACATCATTTTTAAAAATATGTATTTTTATTAATTTCAGAGAGGAAGGAAGAGGGAGAGAGAGATAGAAACATCAATGATGAAAGAGAATCATTGATTGGCCGCCTCCTGCACACCCCACACTGGGGATGGAGCCAACAACCAGGGCATATGCCCTGACTAGGAATTGACCATGATCGCCTGGTTCATAGGTGGACACTCAACCACGGAGCCACACCGGCCGGGCCAGCTTACTTCTTCAGCCTCAACTCTACCCACTCCCTTCTTCACGCACTAAGCTGCAGTCAGACTGTGCTACTCATAGTTCTGAGTGACACCGTCTCTCTCCTCTCTGGGTGAGCACATGCTGAGGACACTCATCTCACCCTCCCATCCCAACTCCACTCACCTGGCTCAGAGGTCACCTCTGCAAAGCTTTTCCTAAACTCTCACTCTCCAGGAATAGGCTGGGAATTACTCCTATGTGTTCCCACATCCCCCAGTTCATATCCCAATTTAGCACTTATCACACTGTATTCTTGTCTCTTTACTTGTTTCCCCCACCAGGCAGGAAGCTCCTTGGGCCAGGGACTATGCTTTACCCTCTATTGCATCCTTAGGACCTAACAAGGTATAAGGCACAATAAATATCTGTTAATGAATAAGTTAGAGAGACATGAAGAGTGAAAAATAGAAAAACAAATGTATTAATATGTTGAATCTGAACAGTCCTTTTATTTATAAAACACTTTCATAGACATTTTATTTTCATAAAAACTTCCTTCTAGATAGCATTGTTATTTTAATGAGTTAACAGCATTAATGAGATCAAATGACCAAAATAACATCTAGCATGAGGTTGATTTGCTCAGTAGATTCTGAATGAAAATTAGTTACTCCTATCTTGCTATGTTTTGGTCCCAGTGGCATTCTATTTAGCACATAGTAACTGCTCAATAAATGGTGGATACTATTACTATAATAAGTGCATAATAACTTGAATTCCTGAATGAATGAATGTATTCTCTTTATCCTCAAAACCTTTTCAGATTTTTCCCTGACTGGGATTGGCTGTAATAGCCCAGACCAGTATTAATAGTCCACTACAGAGAAAATATTTCTCTGAATGGTGATCAGGACCTGACCAGACCAATGACTCTGGCCCTTTACCTCTTGAGGTTCACTCATTCCTCTAGAGGTGTTTTTTCTCCTTCAAAGCTGTCTCTAAGTCTTGAGTTTGATTCCAAACTGCAGGGAGAACACATTTCATCCTGAAGCCAGGGTTATCCAAGTGGTTTTGTTTTAAATAGAAATCATAAAACTAATCACTAAACTACACCCACAGGCCATTAATTCATCAGTTATCATAACCTAAGCTGCATAAGTGATCTCAACCACTGGCATTGCTCAATGGTTAGAGCGTCAGCCTGCACACCAAAGGGTCTTGGGTTTGATTCCGTCAAGAGCATGTACCTGGGTTGTGGGTTCGCTCCCTACCCTGGGTCAGTGCATGCAGGAGGCAACCAATGGATGTATTTCTCTCCTATTAATGTTTCTCTCTCTGCGTCCCTCCCTCCCTCCCTTTCACTCTCTCTGAAAAAGCAATGGAAAAAAATATTCTCAGCTGAAACCGGTTTGGCTCAGTGGATAGAGCGTCGGCCTGCGGACTGAAAGGTCCCAGGTTCGATTCCGGTCAAGGGCATGTACCTGGGTTGCGGGCACATCCCCAGGGGGAGATGTGCAGGAGGCAGCTGATCGATGTTTCTCTTTCATCGATGTTTCTAACTCTCTATCTCTCTCCCTTCCTCTCTGTAAAAAATCAATAAAATATATTTAAAAAAAAAATATTCTCAGGTGAGGATTAACAACAAAAAAGGTATAGCCAAAAGTCTAGAACAAAATGATATTTACCTTAAAGTCATTGCCAAGCTTGTAGTTTTTGATGCCATAATTGTAAGTCAGTTCTGCAACAAAATGATCATCCTCAGGTCCAAATCCCACCATTGTTTTACTCCATTTCCCATCATAAGGCCTAGAAAAATAGAAGCAAATGAACCCAGTGACCTTAGACAAAATCTGTCTCAGGCCTCCCTCAAAGAACTATTGGGACAGAGGGTGGGCACGTCCCTTCAGGTCCTCTAAGTACCCATGAGGATGAGATGACCTCATCTGGTGCTAAGAGCAACTGAGAACAGTGCTCATGGGCCCCATCACCAAAGGCTCTGAAGACCATCCGTTTAGCACTTACTTGAGGAAGAGATTCATTTACCTTCTCCTTAAAGGAGGGGACAGAATCTTATAAAGGCTGACCTTAATTTATTTTTTTAGATTTCCTTCAATAAGCCACCAAAACTTGGAATTTTCACTTGCCCTGGCTACTAAGCTTACGAGATACTTGATAAGACATTATTTCACCCACAGCACATAAATATTTATTTGTGTTCTTGAAGTTACCCAATTTACTGCCTCCTTAATTTTCTCCTCTGCCTTATACTCACTTTGAGAAACTGCTTTTTGTTCTCCAGGGGTATTCAGAGCCTAGAGGAAATTTTAAGAAAAAAGGTGTCATACCCATTACAGGTAGCTTTGCAGCCTTCTTCAAATTCCTCATGCCGCAGAACCTGGTAAGGGAATTAGAACAAACTGTCAAGTTTTACTAGTACTACATACAGCACATTAAGCACAAAACTAAAATAATCAAAACACAGACATTTTCATTTGTAAGCTTTACTTGTAAAACAATCAGAAGATGATAAGCTTTATATCTTTCTCAGGCTAGAAGTAGTAGAGGTGAGGAAGAACCAGAGCCAGGTAACCAAGCAAAGCTGTGAAATCTATTTAGACTGGGAAGCAGTGCTATATAGCTGTGTGTTTTTTAAGTGGCCTTCGGCATTAGAAAAGTCTGGTTTGGAATTCTGACTATCACTTAGCAGTTGTGTAACCGTAAGACTGTTGCTTCAGATTGGGGTCTTCAAATATTTTGTGAAAGTGGGTAATTTATTAAAGCACAGAACCTAGTACACAGTAGGTGTTAGTGTCTATTTTCCTTTTTGATTCTCACTGCTATTGCTCCAGTTCAAGTTCCCATCACGTCACTTACAGACAACTTATTGATCTCCTTCTTTAATACCACTGTGGACCAAAAACAAAAGGGGGAGGTGGGTGGGGACACTATAATAAATCTGACAAATCCAGTCAAGGTGATCTGATCACAACTTTCTACCTGGGCAGGCTATGGTGGGTAGTCCTGTCCCAGGCACATAACATCTTTAGTAAAATGTTTTATCTTTGCCTTAAGCAAGCCCTGTCCATTTTTCTGTGCATCTAGGTTAACACACTTTTGAAATGCCTCTTTATTCTTTCATACCCTTCAGAAACATGACCACCCTGGAGAGCACATGCCTTGTTCGACATGCTTGCACCTTGCTTTCTCCCATCTTCAATTAATTCCAAATGTATAAGAGAAACTGCAAAACTGTCACTCTCTGCCCTAACCTGTTTGGCTCAGTGGATAGAGCGTTGGCCTGCAGACTCAAGGGTCTCAGGTTCGATTCCGGTCAAGGGCATGTACCTTGGTTGTGGGCACATCCCCAGTAGGGGGTGTGCAGGAGGCAGCTGATCAATGTTTCTCTCTCATTGATGTTTCTAACTATCCCTCTCCCTTCCTCTCTGTAAAAAATCAATAAAATATATTTTTTAAAAAAACTGTCGCTCTCTGGAGCATTTGAGATCCTCCTTCCCAGCACTGTGTCAGTTTGGCTCAAATAAACTCTTTTTTTAAAAAATGTTTTTATTGATTTCAAAGAGAGGAAGAGAGAGGGAGAGAAAATAATTCTGAGAAACTAATTGACAGACTGCCTCCTGCACACCCCACCATTGGGGACCGAACCTGTAACCTGGCATGTGCCCTGACCAGGAAACTTCTGGTGATCTCCTGGCTTATAGGTTGACAACCACTGAGCCATACTGGCTGGGCTCAAATAAACTTTTTTTTTAAATAAATCTTTATTGTTCAATTACAGTTGTTCCTTTTTTCCCCCCATAGCTTCCCTTCACCCAGTTCCCACCTCCCCCCATGCCCTTACCCCCC